TGGTATAATAAGTTGCAATATAAAAAGCCATTATAAAAAAAACCTACATCACAAGTCACTGTTAAAAAAGTTTACAACAAACTTCTATGGCATGTATTCTTCATAAAGTTTGAAATTGAGTATATTTAAGTTAACAGAATGATGACTAAGAAGGATATGCCGAAAGCAATCTGGTTCGATTCAAAAGTATTGCTATTAATTCTAGTCAAGCATGCAGCTAATATAATTCGTGCGAACAAGCATATTAAATTGATAAGTATAATTTAATTAATTGCTTAATGAGATAAATGGATATTGTAAATTTTTAATTAATAATGCTATAATGGCTATACTTGTCATTATTGTTATGATAAAAATCGGTTCTTCAGTGAAAGTTGATGCTCTCAATATGTTGTATGTAGGCAACAATTAAAGAAAGCCTGAAATTAAAAAGAAGGGTTAATGCTGCATCAAAAAAAAAAAATTAAATAAAAAATTAAAAAATTAAAAAAAAGCTTTTTGCTGGTTCAAAGGTTCTGTAATCATTGTATATTTGCTAGACAAATCCCAAACCTCAAAAAATAATTGCGACATTTTTATAAAAAATTAAATCAAACAAATAATCTTAAAATTTTATGTTTATAACTATAAAAAAAATCTACAAATTTATTAAATTATTAATTAATAAAAAAAAAATCGTTCTATGTATTATTATCTTAAGCGTGATTGTTATACAATTCTTTATCTGAGACTATGCATATATTTAATTTACAATACCCCAATGTAACTAATAATAAGGCTAATAAAATGCACAATGCACACAATGAAATGCAGTAAACTTATACGATATAGTAGCATTATCTAATTAATCAAATTAAGAAAATGAATATGTATTATGTATCATTATTTGGTTACATTACATTAATTTTAAATACATATTATAGTTTAAATATGTACATTTATTCATTTGTCTACTCACATTGTTTCCAAGTATCCCAGTTAACTATTAATACTTTATCCGCAACCTATTCTTCTTGAACTTGTACTTGCTGATTATAAGTTTCTAATACATCTTCTGGTATAGCCTCTTCTTCCACCCATATAGTCTCATTATTTTTGTTACTAATTAAGAATTCACCATGCTAATAGTTATGAATAGATACATTATTGTTTGCTTGGAAGTTTTGAGTATCTAAAGCAAGCTCTACAGATAAGTTAAATTTTTTATATGAACATTTTTTAGTATGATTTTTCAAAGCTCCTTTTAAAGCAAAGTACCAATTACAATAGAGACAAATATATTCATTAATCAATTTATTGACAGTCAAACAATACCAATCAAAAGGAAGGCATCGTAAATTCATATTTAAAGAAATTAGTTTTCTTTCCATTAATATAGATAAGATAAAAGGAGAAAAATGAATTGTATCATTAGATGCACTTATGTTTGCCATACAAATAGTATCAGGATTTTGTTGAATCATAAGTGAAGGAGGAAAAAACCAATTTGGAAGAATTTGAGTGATTTCACTGTGGAAAGGCTTACAGCAGCTTCGATCATTATACTTTGTAACTTGAGTAAAATAACGACAAGTCATTACATGCTTCTTAATCCAAGATTCAGACTTCTTATTTGGACAATAGTGCACCTCAGAAGGTTTCACATATTTAACGAGAACCAGATAGTTATCTATAACTGTATTTTTCTATATCGATGCTAAAACATCTCCAGCTGCCTTAAAGTTACGTTTTTCTAACTTCTTGTTATTTGTTCTCAACTGTGCATCTAAATGTGTTCCAAATATATCATGTCAAAGTATGATACCAGCCAAATCATGACTTAGAGGTGCTATTCATCTTTTAACTGGATTAGATGCATTCTGGTGTAGTGCAAAGCATGCCACAATAATGATATCAAGATCATATTTATCAAAATGCTCAATTATTATCCGAACTGTCTTTTTATAATGAGAGTTTTCATCAGGACCACTATCAGTTAGCAGTACAACAACAGGCTTAGATTGTTCATCTATTGTTGTAGTATAGTTGTGCAATTTCCTCTCATTCATTAAGTCATCAAAATCTTTATCATGAGAGTAAGCAGTACTGCTATCATGTTTACTACTATGAACTCTTATAAATGTTGGGCCCGAGTATGTTACCACATCAGCGTATCCATATCTACCTTTTTGTATATCTAATATTGCATAAACTAAAGAAATCAGTTTATGCCTTTCAGCAACAACTCAATAATGATCTGAAAGCTCTACTTGGTATTCTAGCCTCATAAAGATTGGTGCTATGTAAGCAAATTATTTATATATTATTCTGTTATTAGTAAGCTTATTTTTTCTAGCAGCACTTATTTATTATAGTAATTTCATTTTATTTTAAATTATAATAACCTT